TAAAGTCTAACAAGGCCTAACGAGGCCTAGCCATACCGTACTAAGCAGAGCGAGGCCCTGAGTGGAAAAGTGCCAATACTGTCTGTGCTGCAGCACCTCTTTTCACCCTCTGTCTGAAACCAGAGCCCAGTCTGCTCTGATTGGTTAGCTGGCCGGCTCTGTTGTGATTGGTCAACAGCTTAGAGATGTCCCATCCCTTAGCCCATCAGGTAGCGCTAGCCAATAGAAGCGGGAGTGTTATGTCAATACGTTACTATAGACAACAAATGAGTCCAATGGAGGCATTTCAGGCAGAGTGCGGATTCTCAAACTTTCAGCCATTGTTGACCAGAGCTTTTTAAAGGATACATTAAAAGTTCCACTTTGACTTTAGAATATAGTTTGCTTATTATAACTGTGCTTGGGTGTTTGACCTTCACTGTACAAACTGATGTATGCGTAGAGTTTGACACTTGAAGGCTGTTTTCACATTCATATGCTGAAAATAAAAAGCTGTGCTCATCATAAATCTGAGTGTAACTGGTGCATGCAAGTGCATTTCTGCGACATTACCACGATTTCAGAAGTCAACTGTCCTATATGCATCTCACACAAGTATAATGAGGGAAACCTCCAGTAAACATTGAAACTGAAAAAAAAGACTTCAATTCAAGAAAATGTTTTGTTTCCAGTGGATAAACTGAGCAAACGAACAATTCATGCATAGTAACAGATTTATTTTAGGGAGACAAGTCAATTTGAGTGAACCTGTGTGTCAAAAAGACACATCATACACAAATAATAATTCAAAGCTGAGTTTTTGTATCTGCAGGGAAGATTTAAGGTTCTCCAATCTCTATGAGAAAATGAGGCCACTACTGTTTCCAAAAAAAAAGAAAAAAGGATTTTGAAGCTGAATATATTACTTGTTCATTCCCCTCAATAGTGTGGCTGAAACATTGTTTCTCAAACATCATTGTGCAGGTCAGAAAGAAAATATGTAAAAGCCTGTAGCAGCTTCAGTAGGCATTTCATCCGAGCCACATATTGACCATTGAGTCAGACTATCAGTGAAAAATTAATAAATAGAATAATCAATCAATCAATGTTTATTTATATAGCCCAATATCACAAATGTTACATTTGTCTCAGTGGACTTCACAGTTTGTACAGAATATCAGTATGACAATACGACACCCTCTGTCCTTAGACCCTCACATCGTACAAGGAAAACTTCCAGAGAAAACCCACAGTTTAAAGGGGAACATGGGAGAAACCTCAGGGAGAGCAACAGAGGAGGGATCCCTCTCCCAGGACGGACAGACGTGCAATAGATGCCGTGTGTAAATCGAAAAGATAATACATTTACAACATAGGTAGTCCAAATGTTTGGAAATGCATGTCTGTATAATAAGAAGATGAATCCACGAGGATGTCAGCAATCTTGTGGGAGCCATCAGGGAAGTAGTATGGTGAGAGTCTGGCAGGACAGTTCTGATTTGGTTCAGCTTAGAGATGTCTACTGGGCCCCTTAGCAAACTCACCCGTACAATGTCGTTGGAGCGCTAGCTAATAGAAAGTGAACACGTGAATGCACCCACGCTACTCGAACCAAAAACACAGGCCCAACTTTTGCAGGCTCGTTCGCGCATGCCCTGTTCTTTCGTGCCGTCCCCTTCTGGAGGGAAATGTGGTATTTTTGCCCTTTGCAACCATTAACATGCACACACATTATATAAAACACACTACAGGAAAGGAAAAAACCCAAAAAGTGTCCTGTGAATTTAAAACGCTTAAAAACAATTTTGAAGTAATTTAAAAGGCTTTCAATTTAAACATCAAACCTGCATCTCTGCTCGACCCTAAAACAATTCCGTAAACAATTGTAAAGTTATTAATTAAAACCTTGTCCAATTAATATCCCTATTACTGAAAAAGACATGAAGTGCTTAATCATTGAGTCAAATATGTTTGTATTATGCTCAGTGATCTGGCAGAAAAAATTATCTACAAAAAAATGTTGGTTACTATTTGTTCCAAATG